ATGAGAGTTTTATTATGTTTTGATTAAAGTCTTATGTTGTTGTTGTTTAAAGTTGTAGAGAGAAAGCAAGCTACCAAAGGAAAAGAGAAGTGTTAGAGAAGTTATTCCCTCACAAGTAGACCTGGCAAAACGGGTGGGTGGGCTGGGTACGGGTAAAACGGGTACGGGCCTTATACGGGTCGTTATATACGGGTCCAATATTTTGGACCCGTGCCCTACCCTATACGGCTACGGGTGGACCCTTTTTTCTCTCTCCAGATTTCAGTTTTCTTTCACCCCTAACAGTTTTCAATTATGACAATTACACCCCTAAAATTCCTACAGTTTTAATTTTTTACATTTACACCCCTAAATCAACTACTCTAAATTCAATTCAATTAAGAATATAAACAAATATGAACCAAATAAACAAATAACACATAAACAAACAATAACATATAATACAAAACTACAAATACCAACCAAAACAAACAAATACAAAATCAATAATACACAATTACACATAAACAAACCAAATAAGTCAATAAACTATAAATNGCCTTAGATGAGAGTTTTATTATGTTTTGATTAAAGTCTTATGTTGTTGTTGTTTAAAGTTGTAGAGAGAAAGCAAGCTACCAAAGGAAAAGAGAAGTGTTAGAGAAGTTATTCCCTCACAAGGTAAGTAAATCCAACCAAGTTGAGATTTAAATAAGTTTTTGAGTAAAGATTGAGTAGAGATGTATGCATGAATAAGTATATAGTATGCTTGATGAGAAATTTAGTCGAGATGAGTAGCTATTTTGTGGTTGTTGGATACACTTCATATATGAGAAGTGTTTTAATGGGTTTGGAGAAGTGGAAATTGAGATGTAGTTTTGGGAGATGTTGTGTAAACCTATTTGGAAGTGCTTTCTTTGACAGGGATTATGGTTATATGAGGGAGTTTTCTCCCATTTTGGATGGCTAGAAAATGAATTAGAGTAGTAATTATAGTAGAGTGTTTATATGCACATGAGTTGCTTGATGAAATGCCTAAGTGAAAACATGTTACCAAACCGCCCTGTCACAGCCGTGACTTTCTGAGTGATTTTTGGGCATCTTACGGATTTAACTGGGTTTAGACAAAAAACATAAAAGTTATAACCCTGTCTCTAAGCTTTAAAACGAGATAAAAATCGTAGCAATCTGATGTGTATAACTCAAGTGATGCCTTTTTGAGTGTGACTTATGCAGAATGACTGTCTTTGATGCAATAATGCATTTGTGCTTTTCATGAGTACATTAATGAGCATGAACCATCCATATGCATGAATTATGCATTATAGAAAGAGTAGAGAACTTGAGAAAAGAAAGAAAAAGAGAATAGAGTAGGTTGTGCGATGGCAAACCCGTGAGTAATGGGTAGAGTATTCCCGCATGTACGCCGCATTGAGAGAGCGGCATGAGTATGAGAAAGAGAAGTGGTGTAGCCCGTGAGAGTACATGCAGATGAGGGCTATACCTGAGAGTACCCGAGAGAGAGTTTATATGCTCACATGGCCAAGGGTTCTGAATCCATGCATAACCGAGTCTGATCGGTTGGAATGAGTAGAAGTCACGGAGAGCGGGAGCGAGTCCTGGCAGTGCCTCTGGTAAGATGGGGCTGTGACTTACTAAAAAGAGTTAGTAGAGAAGAGTTACGAGAAAGAGAAAATTTTTTTTATTATATTAGATAGAGTAAATGAGAATTGTAGGGAAATAATTAGAGAGAGTTACGGGGATAGATGAGTAGAGTATTTACTTACTTAGCCTTAGTTGTGTTCACCCTGTTTTTTTCTATGTTTTTGCAGGACCTAGGTTATGACATAGTCTGACGGGCGTCGGCAAGCGAAGGGAAATGGTTACACTGTCCACCCCTGTTTTGATGCTTTTGTACATGATACAACCTTTTGTATAAAGAATGTATATGTTTAATAAAAGAAAAATTTGGGCCCAACTTTTATGCTTTCTTACATGTACTTTACTATGTATATTTTTAAAAGAATACAAGTAGAATGGAGTCGTTACATTTTTTGTATCAGAGCCGAGATTTTGGGATTTGACAGTGTACCATTCTCCTCGCCACGACGTCCGATAGCCGACTGTGTAAGTTAATTCTTTCCTTACGTTGAGTGTTCCCTTGAATTGATTAACTATGGTTGTTTTGTAGATGAGACGTAGTAACAGGAGGAAGGGTAAGGGTGTGATGAATGAGGGAGAATCCTCTAACCCACTGGAACAAACTCCTCCTACCCTTGATGAGATGAGGATTCGAACCATTGTACAGCAAGTGTTAGCTGAGAGTCAAGGGAGAGTTGTACAAGAGAGAACTGAGACCCTTAATAGAGTACCGCCCATAAGACAAGAGCGAGAAGGGCCAGTACCTCAGATAGTGCAAAGTCGAGTTGATTCGATTCAGGGGCTTGCAAACCAGCACCAGCCGCCAGCATTTAGGGGTACTAGGGACCCACTAGAGGCAGAAGAGTGGTTTAAGTCCGTAAAGCAGACAGCGGCACTATTTCCTATGAAAGATAGAGAGATGATCAGATATGCCAGTTTCTTATTTCAAGGAGATGCCCGAATTTGGTGGGAACTAATGGAGGAGACTCATGATATGACCTCGATGACTTGGGAGGAATTCAGGAGATTATTCGAGGCCGAGTATCAAACAAAAGATCAAGTGCATGAGAAAGTCCAAGAGTTTATTAATTTGAAGCAGGGGACTGGTACGGTTAAGGAATATTCAGTAAGATTCAACTCCCTTGCTTGTTTTGCACCCAGAATTGTGTATACTCCGGTGGTAAGGAGAGATAAGTTTGTGCAAGGTTTGAGATCAGATATTGCCCGGGATGTGATGACGGGAGCCGAGCCTCCTCATACCTATAGTGAGGCTTTGACAAGGGCTTTACGGGCAGAGATTTATGTCAACAAGTATATTGCAGAGGGTTTATCTTCATCAGTACCCAGTGAGCCACCCATTACTTTTCACAGAGAGAGGGAAAGAGTAGATACAACAAGGAATAGAGAAGTAAGAGCCAAGAAGAAGTTTCAACCCAAGAGGGACTGGCAGAACAAGCGGCCTAGAACAAAAGGGTTTCCCCCTTGTGCTAAATGCAGGAGGAACCATATGTAACAACTGCTGGAAACTAGTACTATGCATGCATAATAACAATAGAAAATGGGCCCAAAACTTTTCCTTTTTATTATAAGTCATACGTCTTTTATACACAAAGAACGTCATTTACAAAAATGCCATTTTAAAAGACAAAACAGGGGAAACAGTGTAGCTATTGCTCCTCGCTTGCCGATGCCCCTCTGACTGCATCNACATATATCAATACATATTGCAATAATAATGATTTACGCGATATAGAATAAAATGCCTTTTATTGATTAATGAACATTATTACAAAGAGTCAATTCTACAATAATTGATTGGCTCTAGGGCATCTACTCTAACAGAGCACCCTTGAGAAATTTGATCAAAGAGAATATACTGCATTTAGCAATTTCAATCTCCCTAAAGCATCAGCCATGCTGATCTCCCAGTCTCATTAAAATTAGTTTCTTAGGGCTAGTTTCTGTGGTACAGTCCACATTATGCATACATATGTTAAAGTTTAAAGGCCAGTCAAAGTTAAATAAGGATTTGACTGTAATACTGATTTGCACATGGAAGGTCTAGTGGATAGCTTCCCCTTTTTCATTTGAAGCATAAAGCACAAAGAACATTGACAAATAATGAATGAGAAAAACAGAGTCATACCTTTGTGGCCACTGAAGAAGTTGACAATGTGGCCAATAAATCACATGTACTGAAGAAATGATAAATAATATGTAATTGTTTCCTGATGCTACCATGTTTTGGTCATCAAATGAATATTATATATAGATTGGAATGAGAAATGATATAACAATTACTAGTATGTTGTTGCAAAAGCAGAATCCTTCACCATTTCATTCAGCAAATAACACATATAACCGATCCTCATACCAGATTGCTTCCTTATTTATTGATGCATTTGAGGGACATCTATTGACCTCAACTCCCATCTATTACAACGAGGCTGAAACTGAGATCATGACGACTTGAGAGAAGTAGGAATGCACTGTGCTGGTTGCTTATTACAACTCATCTCTTGAGAGTTCTTCCTTTGTGTGATGAACATAAGATCCATAAGCTTTAATTATGGATTCATAAATGTCAATCTCTTTCAAGTTTTTAGCTTGGTTTAGAAACCGCAACAAGGTGAAAATAAGGCCATCAGATCACAAGCATTAGGCATGCATATTGGGCTTAAGATTTATCACTCCAAAAAATAGGTTTGTTGGCTATGTCATGTTTAGCAGCACGTAAAGCTAGTCAAGAAGAAAAGAAAAGAAAAGAGAGAGATTAAATTTGCAAATGCCGCATAGCAAAAGATGCCCCAAGGCACACCATCACAATCAAGCAAGGACGCGATTGGTAGAATTACATTCTATGGTAGTAAAGTATTACTTGAATTTAGTTTGGTAGCAAGAGACATACTATTAATTATTCATATTAGTGTCTAACAAAACTCAAGCAGGGGATCCCAATTCCAAACAAGGTTTTCATTTTCATGAATAAAACCCATAGACAGACACATAGAAACTATAAAATCAACAGAATGTTAAAACTCAAAACAATGGATAGACATTCACCTCATTATGGTCATGAAACAGAACCGGGGTGAAATTGTTGATTAAGTTTTAGGTTGAATTGATGACATTTTCGAAACCAAAAGGTGGTCACTGCAAAAAAAGTCAAACACACGGGGTTAAAGGTGTTTATCTTAAACCAGCGGCTGCTCACTAAAGAAAGACCAAACATACAGAGGTTATGGTCTCATTTCCAAAACTAATGGACACTCACAAAAATAACAGAACACATGGGGGCTTTAAGAAAAAACCCCTTCGCATTAGGCAAAGAATAAAGAATCATATATATACATACCCACTTTGAGTTTTCTGTTGAACATAAATGGACAATTCAGTTGTTCCAAGTTTCAATTATAATCGGCAAAAGGAAAAGAAAATATAGGTTCTTTAACTGGGAAATGCCATGAAAGCCATTTCAAAGCTGAAATGCATAAGAAATTCACTTTCTAGATGTTATACTTCCACACCGAATGATTCTTCTAGTAAAGCGCTTAACCTATCAGCTTTGATTGATGATTTCACTAGATTCTGCTACCAAAAAGACCTCCCAAGAGCCATCAAAGCTATGGATGCCATGCAAATCCACGACCTTCATGCTGATTCCATCACCTACTCTGAGCTCATCAAGTGTTGCTTGGCCCGTGGCGTTGTTCGAGAAGGCAAACTCGTTCACAACCACGTCTTCTCAAAAGGGTATGAACCTAAAAAATTTATAATCAACATTTTGATTAATATGTACGTGAAGTTTAATCTCTTGGAGGACGCTAAAACATTGTTCGATAAAATGCTTGAGAGAACCATTGTTTCTTGGACAACAATGATATGGGCTTATTGTAATGCTAAGATGAATGACAAGGTGTTTGAGTTCTTTATTTTGATGCTCAGAGAAGGTGTTAGACCAAATTTGTACACCTACTCTTCCATTTTGAGATATTGTGTTTGTTTACTTAATCTTAGGCAGCTTCATTGTGGAATAATTAAAGTTGGTTTGGATTCTGATGTGTTTGTTAGGAGTGCTTTGATTGATGTTTATGCCAAATGGGGTGAGTTGAAGAATGCACTGTGTGTTTTTAATGAGATTGTGACCGGAGATTTGGTTGGTTGGAACTCAATCATTGGAGGGTTTGCTCAGAATAGTGATGGTGATGAGACTTTGAATCTTTTCAAGAGAATTAAGAGGGTTGGTTTTATGGTGAATCAGGCCACGCTAACAAGTGTTTTGAGGGCGTGTACTGGATTAGCACTATTAGAATTGGGGACACAAGTCCATGTTCATGTATTGAAGTATGACCAAGATTTGATACTTAACAATGCGCTTTTGGATATGTATTGCAAGTGTGGTAGCTTGGAAGATGCAATTTTTTTTTTTGATAGGATGGTAGAGAGGGATGTGATTTCTTGGAGCACCATGATTGTATGGTTGGCACAGAACGGATACAGCCGAAAGGCACTGAAATTGTTTGAGTTGATGAAAGCCTCAGGGTTAGAACCAAATTCTATTACAATTCTTGGTGTTCCATTTTCTTGTAGCCATGTAGGGCTTATAGAAGATGGGTTGTATTATTTCCAATCTATGAAGAAGCTTTAGGGGATTGAACCAGAAAATGAGCATTATGGCTACGTAATTGATCTTCTTGGAAGGGCTAGGAAGCTCGATCAAGCAGTCAAGTTAATACATGAGATGGAATATGAATCAAGTGTTGTGACATGGAGAGCTTTGCTAGGTGCATGCAGGCGAAACCTTATGTTTTTTTTATAAGAAAGAGAAGTTTGTTAATTACTGTGCTATTCTAGTTAACATATAACATGTAACCCCAGGAACAAACCTCACTTCTTAAGGAACATTTCTCTAAACTCATTATTTTACTTCGGCTTCTCATCTTCCACTTCCCTGGCTTTCGGATTTGTCGAGGGGACATAAAGTGGTTTGAAGTTCCTTGGCATTGTAAATGTTCCTCCCTTTCAGCTGAATGTTATCACTATGTTTATTAGCAGCACAGTGCTGCACTGTAGACCCCCTGAAAGTCTGATTACTACTTTGCGCTGCCATTTAACCCAAATGAGTAAGAAAATAAAAGGTAGAAGTGGGAAACACAAACATGCAAACGTCTATAGACTGCACTGCACACTAACAAACACACACATGATCACTACTCATAAAAATTTGAATCTAAGTCGGCTATGAGCCACCAAAGAAATCGATGGCATGACCAATATATCACCTGTATTAAAGAAATGATAAATAATATGTAATTCTTCCATGATGCTACCATTTTTGGGTCATCAAATGGATATTAAATGCATATGAACACTATATGCAATTTGGAATGAGAAATGATATAAAAATGCAGTACACTTATCAGTGTATCCTTTGGCTCTTCCAGTGGTGGAGTCTTTGATGTGCTGGTCATTTGGATGCTCTTCAAACTTGGGTTTTGCTTCTACTTCATTTTCTTCAGCTAAGTTCTGTACTCGTCCCTTTTCTTTCCCATGAACTTTTTTTGGGTTTTAGGCAGTATTTTTCTGTCGCTTAGCTGTAGACTGTTCATCAGTCATGTTCGAATCTGTTTTTCTCTTTCCATTAATACTTTTCTTATGTGACTTCCCTTTCTGATCTATTAGTTCAGGAACAGATTTGGGTTCCTGCTGTAACCTACATAATTGCGGCTCTTCCAAGCGGGGTGTAACCTAAGAAAGGGAACAAAGACAAGCACTTTTACGCATTGAGTTAAAATAGCAAGGATTGCATACATTCAATAAATACTAAGTAGATGTGTCATAATTCAGTGACATCTTTAACAATGTTACGTAACAACTTGACTTAAAAGCTTAAATTGATAGTTAAGCATCCAACAACCATACATAAAATTTAAAACGATCTCGTGCGTTGAACACCCACAATCACAACCATAAATATAACATTAATACAAATACAAATTTATAATCTAAATAAGAGCCTATTTGATATAAATTTTAAATAGTGTTTTATTTTCAAAAACAAGGACTAAGAGAAGTGATGTCTTGCAAAGACAAATACAAAGGGGGCATACAAAGACAACCTCTACCCTTGATCTTCATGATTTCTCTCTCTTTCTCTCTCTCTCTTTCTCTTTTTCCGTTTTTTCTTTGTTTTTTCCTTCACTTTGTAGCCTTCTTTGTATAAGTCTTTGTAAGGATAGCATTTTTCTATGGGATTTTATGAAAATATGTTTTTATTAAAATAAGTTGAAATGTTTTCAAAACAATGCTTTTGCATATAATCCTAAAAATTAGTGTAAAATTAGAAAACAAGAAAAATATCATTTCTCAGTCTTTATATAGTTTTTAGCTTCAAAAACAATTTTTAATACCAGATATATTTTCAAATATTTAAAATATTGAGATAAAGCTTTTAAAATTTTTAATTGTAACTTAGTTTTTTAAAATTATTTTTGAATCACAAACCAAACTGGCCCAAATCTCATAAAGAGATTTAAAATACAAAATATACTTTCAAATATTTAAAATTTAGAGATAAAACTTTAAAATTTTTAATTGTAACTTAGTTTTTCAAAATTATTTTTGAATTAAAAACCAAACTGGCCCAAATCTCATATAGAGAGATTTAAACATGAAATCAGGAGAAAACAAATCTTGATAATCTTTTTATTTCATTCTCTTAAACTAGATATGACTTAGATAACTCTTAAATTTATCATATTCTAATCTAGAAATCCTACACTCCCCCTCAAGCCGGTGAATAGATATTTATCATTCCCAGCCTGAAAACTAGATTAACAAACAACTGTCGAGGCAGTCCTTTTGAACAATTGACCTGCTTCAAACTTGTTTTTCATCAAGTATACCAAACATACTCTAGTGTGATCATCAATAAACGTAATGAACCACTTAGACCCTACAATATTTGTAACTCTAGATGACCCCCAAATATCACTATGAATTATTAAAAAAGCCTAGAACTCTTATATTTATGAGCTAGATAAATAGACTTGGTGTATTTTGCAAGTTGACAATTTTCACACTTAAAAGAAAATAAACTTTTATTTATGAATAACAATGGGTACAATTTTCGTAAATAAGGAAAGCCAGGGTGTCCTAGTCTACCCTTATATCAGCCTATTGGGTTTCAAAAAATACTCCACTACCTATGGTTTAAAAGTGATTGCTTCATATATGCCATAATTTCATCAGAGTATTAGTAACTCCAAAGTTTAAAGTTAAAAAAAATAAACGTCATGGATTTTCGACTAGCATGACGCCTATAGATACTGTCATATATCATTTACGTATGATTTGGAAAAATGATTCAAAATAACATATTAAACCATTGTGATTCTAGTGCCCGAGTAATAGGTTGACCTATTACAAGGCTACTCTATAAAAATATTCTCAGCTGTAGAGCATGATTCTACAGGATAAGAAAGAGAAAACGATGAATGGGCCAAACCAGATCTTAACAGGCTCTCCCAAACACCCAGAGCTGCAGCCAAATTTAGCTCCAAACGAGCCCAATAATCATACAAATGCAGCAAACCATCTATATTCTTCATCTGTTGAGATAAGTAATCTGATGCGCGCTGAAAGGGAGAAACTGCACAGTTAAGTATTCAAGTATATATAATACATCCAATCATACAGAGCCTGCAATTTCGAGTACACTAAAGAGACATCAAGCTAATTGTTTATAAACACAAATATTGAAGACAACCATTACACAACAACGATGTACCAGTTGAAAATGACATGCCGATTTTATAAATTCACAAATCCGTAAAGATATCTTCCGTGCATGCAACTCCAATGCTGATTGAGAAATTTTTTAGCAAAGGACACTATTCCATGAGAAAACAATTAACAAAGGTAACAATCTAGCAATTAGCAAAAGCCATCTTGGAGTACCGAGAGTTATGCACTGTAATTTCTACATAAAGTGGTCATAATGGTACTATAACAACACACTAAATGAAATAAATTAATAGGCTTTTCTTCAAAGTCTAAGGGTAGAAGCACTTGATATACATTCGTAAGAGATTTATGCCTGGACCTTAAAACAGTGGACTAGCTACAAGGTCCACATTTTCTTCATCCAAAATTCACCATGAATAAAGCATCTACAAATGTCTTGAGAAAATTCAAGTTCTTGACATCGAGTAAAAACAATTTTAACAAGGAAAAATGAACAGTATACCTATGCGAACGTGAAAGGTTTCCCTTATCAATGGAAAATTCAGTTCCTAATCTCTTTGTTTTACATAATCCATCAATGAGGGAATTCAAACCTTCAATGCTAACTGCAATCTTATTATTTACTAGAGCATTAAACATTTCCAATGCTTCCAAAACACATCTGTTCTTGCAAAGCCCATCAATGAAAATGCTATATGTCCAAGAATTAGGAAAAGCATCGTTAAGTCGCATCTCACCAACTAAATTCCGTGCATCTTTCACCTTAGCTATATGAAAAAAGCCAGTTAACAAGGTGTTATATGTAATCACATTAGGCCTAATTCCTTCTGAAATCATCTCTCGATAAAGACTAAGAGCTTCATTGACTTCTTTATTCTTGCAATACCAATTGATTAAAGTAGTGTAGCAAACAACATTAGGCCTATACCCTTTTCTAGTTATAGAATCAAACAACTCCCTTGCATCACCAATTCTATCTGCCAAGCAATAACCGTTTATTAAAATGTTGTAAGTATAAATGTTATGAACCACACCTCTCTGAATCATATGTTCCAACAATAGTTGTCTAGCCTTCTCAACCAATCCAGCCTTACAAAGACCATCAATTATAGTATTATAAGTAACAACATCTTGCCTACAAATAACACCAAATTCTTTATTCCCATTAACCATCTCTTCATGAAACTTAATGGCAACACTTATTTTCTCTGTTTTACACAATCCACCAATCAAAGTGTTGCAAGTGATCACATTAGGCCTACAACCAACAACAATCATTTTCTTAAACAATTCCATTGATTCCATAATCTTTCTCTCTACACACAGACCATTAATCAAACAAGTAAATGTCACAGTATTTGGGCTAAAACCCAACTTCATAATTGCCCCAAAAACCACATAACCATCAGAAACCCTTTCAATATTACAAAAGCAATTCATCAAAATATTCAAATATATAAAATCCGGAGACAACCCAGTTGAATTCAACAGCTTGTAAAGTGAAATCACTTCATAATAATGCTTCTTCTTAGCTAGTGCACTAAACAAAGTAGTGAATGATGAAATTGGAGAAATGAGTTTCATATTAATCATGTAATAAAAAAAGTACAATGCTCCATTCAGAGTAAAACTACCTGATCGACAATTTTCTTTGAGGAATTTAGCAAGTGAGGATCGTTCAAGGGGTTTTTTTTGAAAGAATACGAAACTTCATTTTTGGAGCTTAAAGACGTGGTGTTGTGTAAGTGAGCTAACAAAAATAAAACTTTAACTTTTAAAGATGGGTTTGAGAGATTGAAGATGAATGAAATAGGGATGTCAAAGCCATGTATGAAGAGTGTTTTTTGGGGGTCGGTTTTGAGGTTGTGTAACTGCATTTTTGTTGCAAAATGCAAATGCATTAAACTGATTAAAGAGAAATGTTTTGACAAATTTCATAAACAACCTTCATGATTTCAAAAACTTTTCACTTAGCACCCTTAAGGTTAAAAATGTAAATCCACCTTCAGCCTTTAGGTGCTTTTCGGTTTGAGTTTTGAGCTGGTTTTCTACTGAATCCAAAATTATCCAGTC